TGATGATCTTTTCTTCCTTGATAATGAAGAAGACCATTGTTATCCATTCTAACAATATCACCTGTTCGATAAAATAGTTGACCATCAATTTCAACGAGAGCTTTTGCAGTTAAATCATTTCGTCCGAGATAACCAGCAAAGACGCCTACACCTCCTACACACAGTTCACCTTCTTGGTTCGTGGTTGATTGTTGTGAATATTGATTCATAATTATACATCGGTAGTTAAAAAGGGGCCTACCAATTGGAATGCTCTGTATAGTACTTGTAACATTGATAGAATGAACAGTGCAATCTATGGTTGCTTCAGCTGGACCATACAAATTCCATACAATACAGTTTGTTATATCGATTTTGACAATCAAATCAATTAAAGGAACAGAAAATGGTTCACCTACAACAATAAACATACGCTAGATAAGCAAACAAAATCACTTCAAAAGTCACTTACCACTGCTGCAAAGTGATCGAAGATGTTTCAGGACATTCTGATTGTTACTTTGCTCGACAGAAGTAAAAAAACTATGTAGAAAGCTTGGTACAGTATGTAGATATGAGACTTGTTTGTTTTGTAACACTTTGGATAAATAATCGAAATCAGTCGTTCCACCGGGATGAAGCATGATCAATGTGCCTCCAATCAACATTGTACCAAGTATCTCTTGAACATGAATATCAAATGAACATCGTGTCATTTGTACAACTGTATCATCTTTATTAAATGAGTTAATATGTGCCAAAGAATCGATACAGTCAATAAAGTTCTTATGTCGAACTTGGACCTATGAAAGAGCATGAAAATAAATCAGATATTTGAGAATGAAATGAAAACGAACCGCTTTGGGTGTTCCAGTTGAACCACTAGTAAAAATAATGTACGCTATCTCTTCGCCTTTCATTATCGCACTTGAAAGACCTTTCTTATCTATATCATTGATAATCATTATTGAATCAATATCCTGTGAGATAATATCATGATCGAATTTGATCTTCGTTAAATGATGAATAAGAACAAGACGACTTTTAGTTTGCTCTACGAGTGCATGCAAACGATGTTGTGGATCTCGAGGTGACAATGGACAATATACACCACCAACCATTTCAATTCCCAGAATACCAATTACCTAGTCAAAAGCAATCTCAAACTCTCATCGATAGCTACTTATCTTAATCAACTTACCATTGATAAACTTCGTTCAACACATTGGCACACGACCTCACCTGGAAACACATGATATTCATTAAGAAGAGTTAAGGATAATATTTGTACATAATGTAAGAGTTCACAATATGTCAATGATTGTTCATCTAGCTCAACTGCTAGTTTTTGTGGATGTTTCACTACTTGATATACAAACTCATGATGAATACAAGTGACACGAGATGAAAATGATACTTGTGTATTATTCAATGATTGCATTAGATATTGTTCATTTGGTAATACGAATGATAATTCATAGATAGGTTTGTTTGTTGTACAGTCGAAAGATGTGAATTGTTGATATAACATTGTCTGTAATCTTTGGACAATTATATAAACTGTTTCAGCATTAAATAAATCGAGTGAAGCATTAATGGTGCATGAGAATTCATTTAGATTCAGATCATGTTGAAAACTAAGAATGAAATCAAATTTACTCATTATTTCATTTTCACTAATCTTAATTGAATAAGGTAGTAACGAAAATCGACCATCACCAATCATTATTTCATTCTCCTCATCTCTTCTCATAGATGCTATAAAGTCAAATGATGTATCAAGAAATACAGGATTTGATAAATTTGGATGGTGATTGAGAATACGTTGAAGTGGAAAATATGAATATTTCATACAGTTTATCATGTTATCTTGAACCTGCTTAGTAAGTTTATGAAATGATAAATGAGGATCGAGTTGACATCGCAAAGGAATAGCATTCACAAACATTCCAATGATAGAGTTAAGTTCATCTCTATATCGACCATGTGTATTTATTCCAATACATAAATCTTTTTCTCCATTCGTTAATTTGAATAAAAACACATAATAGGTAGCAAGTGCAAGATGTTCTAGTGATATGCTATTTGATGATGCATGAATAAGAAAGTCATGCGAGAGATCTTGACCAAAATCAAAAGAAATCGATGTTCCACGACCAGTTCGATGTTCATTTGAGAGACGATATCGATCAAATGGTAATGACAAAGGTTGATCAAGTTTACAATCATGAAGAGTATCAAGCCAAAACATACTTGCACCAGTCATTGACATTTGTTGTTCAATAACAGCATCTATTATGTAATTAAAGAAAAGAATATATTAGGTAAAAGATAAGAACTAATTGTATTTACAGTCGATATAACGTAGATTAGTGTTGTCATCATATAATAATTGACCTGTTGTATATGCTTGATTAAGATCATGAAGAAAGATATTCATTGATGGAAAATCAAATAGAGCATGATGAAAGTTGAAGATAAGTAGATCTTTGTCAGAAAGAAGATGATTTGAAGAGATTTGTATGTAATAAATAATATGACATCGAAAGACAAGACCTTGAGCAGGATCAAAAACATGAGGATTACGTTTCTCATCGTGTAAAATATGATTAAGTTGCTCATCTGTTTCATAAGTAGTTTCGATGATTGAAAACAGATTATTCTTATTATTTTCATGTTCATGAGTAATAACTCGTTGCATAAGTAGATTTTTTTCAATGTCAAAATGAAGTGATGTATGAAGTGAGGGATGTTTGTTAACAGTGAATTGAAGAGCATGACGAAGTTGTTTAATTGATAAAGTATGACCTGGTTGCAGACGATAAACAAAAGGCATATTATAGATTGCTACTTGTGGCTTGTCTGGATCGAATCGAATTCGTTCATCAAGCCAAATACGAGCTTGTGCAAATGATGCTGGTGCTGTATGAAAGAGAAAGCAATCAAATATGAGTAATAATATTGCTTGTGAGATATTTTTTGTGTGAGTTTTAATCATTATCGAATTGCACTATGATTGGAACTTTTAAACAGTATACCTAATGTTGTCATTTGCCAGAGGCAGGTGTACTATTATATCGTTCATTTATTAGAAACTTGAAACAAACAGACAAATAAAATAGGTCGTGATGATGTTTTTGATACGCCATCAGTTCCATTTTCTTTTGAATGCTTTAGTGTTTCTAACCGTTGAACAAGGAAATCTTTTTAAACGACATACTCAGAAAAAAATAAAGGAGCTTTTCAGAACCCCAACAAATGGTTCTGGAAAATCTCAAAAGCTTCCTTTTGGGCTGAAAGGTCCAAAAAATGAATAAAAAATTTGACAGAACCCTTTAAATGGTTTTAATTGTACTCACGGGCCGAACCTCCCTTCTACAGAACCTTTTTTGGTTTCACAAAGAAAAAAATGGTTTCGTAGAAAAATGGAGAACCATTTGGGTTTAGTATAAAACCCTCAATAGTTTAGTACAGAACCCAAATGATTCTGCATTTTTCTAGGAAACCGTTTTTTCCTTTGCGAAACCAAAAAAGGTTCTAGAAATTTAACGATACTTCAGAATGATGGAAAAATTTTGTAAACAAATATGTTGCATTATTTTATGTAGAAGACAATAATGTTCATAGAGGTGGGTTCGATAAAAGTTCTATCAGCTACATAAATGCATACTTTAAGAGAAAGAATGATACCTGACTCAAAAATGCTAGTTTTGAACGTGAAAATGAGTCAAATCGTAGGACATTCCACATCATTACATAGTCATCTACAGGAAAACCATCTGGAATACTGAAGTCATGTTATTATACATGACAAAAATCTTGAGAGTAAGTGTGAGTGAGGATGTGGGTGGTTAAGAATGTAGATGGGCTGGTGTGGGTATGTGTATGACTAAAGAACGCCTATTCACATCCACCCACAGTCGTACTCTGTAAAAAAGAAGAGCTTCATACTTAACATTTTTCGGTACCATTTTCAAAACCTTTTTTACGTTCTAGCAAAAAGTCTAGAACTTAAAATGGTTTTAGCCAAATATACGAAACCGAAAGGATTTTAGAATTTTTTCTAGAACCTAAAACATGGTTCTAAAAATCGTACCCGAATTTAGAATCATAACAAGTTACAGCTTTTCCCTATAACCTTTAATGGTTCATTATGATACCTCCTTTTTAGAGAGTACGCCCACCCTACGGTTAAGCGTCCGTTCTCAGATTATCCGAACGATATAGAAATATAGCTAAAGTGATATTTTTGCATAATGTAATGATTCTCAATAGAAATGTTAAGTATGAAAAACGTCATATCTAGTTAAACATACCTTCGTTCATAATATGTGATTGTCGACAAAAGATAATATCTTCCATTTCTTGAGTTTCTTCTGGTAGAATAAGTTTAATTTTCAATACAGATGTTAAACCTGTATCAATTCGATCGATAGTTTCATTCGATGAAAAAAGTTGTTGAAAACAATGTTCTAATCTTCGACCTATATTTCTAACTGTAATCTCGTCAAACAAATCATGTGAACAAGTTAAACGAAATGATAATTTATTATTTTCCAACATTGGATTATAGACAAACATTAACATAAAATCAAACTTAGCCACTTCAGATGATTGTTCTAGGAGCACTTGTTTAATACCTGCTCCATCCAAAGATAATTTATCGCTATGTGACGATATAGTAATAAAGTCATACATTGTTTCAAGAAATGAAATATTTGATTGATTAATATGTAAATTAGCAAGGATATGTTGAAGTGGATAATGAGAGTGTTCAAGAATTGATAAACATTTCTCTCGTAGATAATCAACAAGTTCATCAAATGACCAGTGTGGATCAATTTGAATGCGATATGGTAATGTTGAAACAAACATTCCTATTATATTCTGCAGTTC